GAGTGGAAACTGCATCAACACAGATGTCATTCATGTATCATCAGCGTGTAAACACTATCTAGACTCATAATAAACGTCATACATGATACGTCACAGCCATTTTCATTCTTTTAAAATTTACAAGGCAGCTATGTTCTATTTATAAAATGGTTTTTTCAGTTTGTATTTCCTGAGGAAGGCTGATAAATTTAGTGGCCAAAAACATTCAATCTTTATATTTTTTTACTTTTATTTGCATGAAAGTTTGAGTTTAGGTGTGATTTGTAAATAAATTTTTAAAAATTTTATAAGAAAACAACAGGTAACAGATTATGAAGATTTTAATGAAGAAAGCTGATCAGAATGCTTTCTTCAAATTCTGATATATTTGAACTTGTGCAGGAGATTTTAATCTTAGAAATATACTAAAATAGCATTTAGTATAGTGTTGCCACCCATCCGGTTTTCACCCAGACAGTCTGGTTTTTAATTCATTGTCTGGGTTAACTATTAATTTTGTTTGGGATTTTGTAGAAATTGTGAAATTATGATGAAACAAAGTACTAGCAAATATTTTTATAGCAAAAGACTTCACACTCTCACCAAAACTTAATTTGCCATCTTATGCCGACATANTTTCAAGTGATGCTTCACATTTTTTCTTTTTTAATGATTTTAAACTTTTTTCTTCTTTACTAGTAAATTTCTTCTTTACTGCGGAATTTGATTTGGCTTTATTTGTTCCACGATTCAACAATTTTTTATTTGCTTTATTTTTCTGACTTAAAAACTCAGACCATGGTGTGGGTTCTTCTGGTTGTTTACAATGCTGATGAACAGATTTTGCTCTTGCCCACCGTGTCATTGCAAAATTCACTTTATAAATAAAAGAATATGTTATACTAATGCAATGTAAGATAATCAATAGAAAAGAGCATAATATTATTAAAAAAATCTATATTATAAGATATAAAAGATATATCAATATTTAAATAAATTTTATACACCCTCACCATAAACTGGAACCGTATATTCGCAAATCACACCTAAACTCAAACTTTCCAGCAAATAAAGTCAAAAAAATATAGATTGAACGTTTTTGGCCACTAAATTTATCAGCCTTCCTCATTTAATACAAACTGAAAAAACCGTTCTATAAATGTGATTTGGTCCTACAACAATTGGAGGAGCGGTCATTAAAAAACATCAAACATAACATCCTGTACACTTGATATGTCGATGACATTTTAATTGTATGGAGAAAATGTCCTGATATTGGTGAGGTGTTAAAAGTGTTTAATAATAACAGCTGTGGATTAACACTAAAGTTGGATGAGGAGAGCGGTAATAACATTAATTTCTTAGACATCAGGATTCAAGTAGCTAATAGCAAATTCGTCACAGCAATTTACTGCAAGGCTACTTCCTCCCCCTATTCATACCTTCCAATTCAGCAGACCCATGGTCATATAAGACATCCGCATTCTGCATACTTGTGGCCAGAGTCTACTCACATTCTATACATTTGTCGGATACCAGCAAGGAACTGGAACATCTCAAACAAGTAGCATCCAACCATGGATATGGCTGCACATTTATCGACAATCTGGCATCCAAATATCTAACTCAATCATCTAACAATGTTAACAAAGCAGAAGCAAATCGGGTGATCTTAGACTATGAACCAACGCTACATTGCATATATAGAAGGATTGCAAATAATTTAAACATACTCTTTACCTATAGAAGGAAACCCACTGTTTTCTGCCTTCTCTCAAACACGAAGGACGACACTGAGGATGCTCCAGCTCCTGGGATTTACTGCATCCCCCTATATGATGAGAGGTTTGACAGATTACTAGCTTACATAGGATCCACATATAGATCGCTGCAAGCCAGACTAAAAGATCACAAATATGATGTGCTAAAAGGTAACATCAGTACGGCTTTAGCATGGTATGCCAGTGATCCAGGGATTTCCCCCTGTTGGGACCAGGCCAAGCTAATACACAAGGTCTTCAACAGGCAAAATATTAAAATTTTAGAAGCAGTGGAGATCTACAAGGCGAGCAGGAGTGGAAACTGCATCAACACAGATGTCATTCATGTATCATCAGCGTGTAAACACTATCTAGACTCATAATAAACGTCATACATGATACGTCACAGCCATTTTCATTCTTTTAAAATTTACAAGGCAGCTATGTTCTATTTATAAAATGGTTTTTTCAGTTTGTATTTCCTGAGGAAGGCTGATAAATTTAGTGGCCAAAAACATTCAATCTTTATATTTTTTTACTTTTATTTGCATGAAAGTTTGAGTTTAGGTGTGATTTGTAAATAAATTTTTAAAAATTTTATAAGAAAACAACAGGTAACAGATTATGAAGATTTTAATGAAGAAAGCTGATCAGAATGCTTTCTTCAAATTCTGATATATTTGAACTTGTGCAGGAGATTTTAATCTTAGAAATATACTAAAATAGCATTTAGTATAGTGTTGCCACCCATCCGGTTTTCACCCAGACAGTCTGGTTTTTAATTCATTGTCTGGGTTAACTATTAATTTTGTTTGGGATTTTGTAGAAATTGTGAAATTATGATGAAACAAAGTACTAGCAAATAATTTTATAGCAAAAGACTTCACACTCTCACCAAAACTTAATTCGCCATCTTATGCCGACATATGTTGCATCCTGTCAACCTTTTTCTTTTTTTTTTCTTCTTCTTAGCTCTTTAAAGCTAAGCTATTTCATTTAATAATTTAAGTTGCTCCTACACAAGTCCCTAACTGGTTTAGAATTGTGTGCACATTATTCTTTGCATGGTGTAAAATAACATTGCGCATGTGTCAGGCAGGGACTTCTGTTCAAATAAACCTGACCTGCTGGGTCAGCTATTTTGAAAAGATGGCAATACTAATTTAGTAAATTCTTAATATAATATATATAATAATGTGTAATGATTTAATTACATAACTTTAAATACTATCTCCTAATTAATTGTAAATGTTGATGGCTCCACTATCCTAAATATAGTCATAAAACAAAATATTGAAATCTTCTTTAGAAGCCTATATACAAAATAATTTAATCATGACTAATGTGGTAAAAGTCCAGAATTCATACATGTTTTTACTTAATTTTGCTGTCTTGAGAGACCACATTAGAGAGATGTCCAAAACAGATAGAACTTTTTAGGGACAACATGTATAAAAAGAGCTATATGAATTCTGAACTTTTACCAAAAAAAGATTCGTGTTTTGTTTTCTGACTTCTTTTATCTTTTAATGCAATTTCTACTTTAAAGTATTGTATAATATGAATAACCCTTTACGATTTATAACCTAAAATATCAATTTACACATTTTCTTCTAGTTTTATTAAATGACACGATCGCCTGAAATTAAACATATGAGTTTAAAAAACACGATTCATTGACTTACATTCAAAAATCCTTTCTAGTATAGATTAGACACAGGATATTGAATTTTTTTTATGTCAATAGGAACAAAACGATTAAACAAATCGTTGACGATATAAAACTCATTTACACGTGTTTACGAAATCGACACTTTAATTACAAAACATGCGCAATGCCGGATTATGTAAAAACGAAACATAAATTCCGCCCAATCCTTTATTAAAAGAAATGATGTAAACAATATATTGTATTTGGATAAAAGTATTAAAATATTTCTCTAAAGAAATAATTTTAATTTAGATTAATTTTATAATTTTTTAAACTCCCTTGAACACTAAGAGAACCTTTTACCATGTCTATCGTGGGTTCGGCAAGACCCAAAATGAGTCGCCACAGGCCCGGATTTACATAAGGGCATTTGGGGCCGGTGCCCAGGGTTCCCACAAAACTATGTTTAAACATAATTTTTTTTATTTATTACCGCGACGGCCTAGTGTGACCTAATCATAAGGGCCACAAGCAGAGAAAACCAAGAGACCGGATGGCCGAGCGGTCAAGGTGGCAGCCTACCGCTCTGAAGACCCGGGCTTGAATCCGAACGGGTCGAAAAATCCCCAGGAATCTTTCGGGGTATGGTCCGTTCGGATATGTCGGGCCCCGTCTCTCACCACCCGACAGCCCCATTGTGGGCCTGGCCGAACCCATAATGGGCCTGCAAAAAGAGGTCCTCTTAGTGCCCACAGGGCGGAAAGAGTTAAAAAAAAAAACAGAGATAACCAAAGCCGAGGGAAAAAACTATGAAACATATCGGAAAATTTCGGGAAAAAATTTTACATAGGTATTTTTCAATTAAATTAAAATAATTAGTTTTACACAATAAAATATATGTATTTTATTGTGTAAAACTAGTTGTATGTATGTACAATAACCTTATTTTAAAATGAAATTTACAACTTCCTAGTTGAAAGTGCAGTATTTTGTGTAAATTTTCTAAAGCATCAAATTTGCTTACTCTTAAAGGGGGGTCCACCGTATTTGTGCTCATGGCTCTCTGATTGTTAAATCCGGCCCTGGGTCGGCCAGGTGGTGAGGGACCACAGATTAAGAACTTATCTATGGTCCCTCACTATCTGGCCGATCCATTGTGGTCTTGGACTTAATCTGTGGTCGCTCCGAAAAATCCCTGGGGTTTTTTTCCGGTCCGTCCGGAATCTATTCAGAATCCCCAGAATAGTAGGCTGACACCTTAATCTTTTTATCTCTGACTTCTTACAACAAAAAAATTTTTAGACACCATTTTACAATGTTTCTACGACTTTTCCTTATATAATGCAAAACAGGACTTAATTTTAAGTTTTTTTCTATTACACCAGTTTTGTTTCGGCCAAGTCGATAAATCTTAGCGTTAATAAGTTGTTCTGAAAGACATAAATGGAAAATATGGACAATAATACAAATGTTACGTCTGCATAATTATTTATTAATTTCAATCACTGTTCAATCTTAAAATTCTCCCTTATCTTTGCACACTTTTACACAAGTTACAATACACAACACAAATAACACGCCCTCGACTAAAAGGAAAATGGCCGACGTGTATTCAATTTTCATTAAACGCTCGGTCATTCGGCCGTCAAATATGCATTACTGATACAAATTAATAATTTTAAAAATTATCGTAAAATTCTACTTTAAATTAAATTATTTTAATTTTATGTTTGAATTAAAATTTTAAGTAATTCGTGTGGTTTTTTTTGTTTTGTTTTTGTACGTGTAGAAAGCACGTGTTATCCATGTGTACTGAAATCGATTCATTATTCGAGGTTGTTATGTCAACAGTCGCTCCTGTAACTATGTGACTTCAGCATTTGCTTAAAATGACAGTATTTATTGATTTAACATGGCTTCGAATACCTTTTTAAGTTCTAAAGAAGGAGAAAATGATAAGTCAGTTGATTTATTAGTATAAACTTCATTTATGTTTAAAACTCTGAGAAATATTACAAAAATTATTAATTTAGAGAAATACAGTAACAGAAAAATACTGTCTTAGCTGTTAAGCTTTAGTTAAATGAAAAATTGCATTATTATTAAATGTTTTTATGTATTATAGTAATAATTTCACATATCAGTATGTGATAAATTGAAATAATATATTGTATTTTAATATATCAACATGATTTCACAGAGAAATTACATAACTTCTGTAAGAGTGCAATTATCTAACAAACATACAGTGTATGTTTTAAAATTCAATTTTACATAATTTTAAAAATATCTAGGAGCATTTTATTACAATATTATGGTTTATTTTTCGAAATAGTTAAGAAAATATAAATTATTATTTTGTTCAATTTATTGTTATATTGTTCTAATTCAATGTACCTTTTTATGGTGCTGTATAATGTTGATAGATTCAAAAAACACTTTAATCCTAATAAGTTGATTTTCCACACAGCTAGTCCAAGTTAAGTGAAACAATACTTTATTTCATTAAAATTTTAAAGCATATCTTTACTTCAAATGCATTTCAGGTTAATATAATATAACTTTATTAGCCTAAAATACATTGATGTAAAGATATGCTTTAAAGGTTTAATGAAATAAAGTCTTGGGTCACTTGGGTTAGCTGTGTGAAAAATCAATCTATTAGGATTAAAGTGTTTTTTGAATCTATCAATGTATATTCTTTAACAAAGTTATTATACTGAAAAAAAAATAAATAAATATGTTAAAAAATTGCTTATCAATGTTTTAATTCATCTTTACATTTATATTTTAAAGTTATAAAGTTTTATTGGCCTTATAATTACTCTTAAAGTATTAAAAACTTAAATCCAGTTATAGTTATTATACACTAAGAAATAATTTATGAAATTCAGAAACTTTAAAACATAATTTAGGAAACATATGAACTTACAGTTTTAAAATGATTCTCAAGTTCTCTATAAAACATTTTGAATTATTTTGACCTTTTACCATGTCTATCGTGGGTTCGGCAAGANTTCTAAAGAAGGAGAAAATGATAAGTCAGTTGATTTATTAGTATAAACTTCATTTATGTTTAAAACTCTGAGAAATATTACAAAAATTATTAATTTAGAGAAATACAGTAACAGAAAAATACTGTCTTAGCTGTTAAGCTTTAGTTAAATGAAAAATTGCATTATTATTAAATGTTTTTATGTATTATAGTAATAATTTCACATATCAGTATGTGATAAATTGAAATAATATATTGTATTTTAATATATCAACATGATTTCACAGAGAAATTACATAACTTCTGTAAGAGTGCAATTATCTAACAAACATACAGTGTATGTTTTAAAATTCAATTTTACATAATTTTAAAAATATCTAGGAGCATTTTATTACAATATTATGGTTTATTTTTCGAAATAGTTAAGAAAATATAAATTATTATTTTGTTCAATTTATTGTTATATTGTTCTAATTCAATGTACCTTTTTATGGTGCTGTATAATGTTGATAGATTCAAAAAACACTTTAATCCTAATAAGTTGATTTTCCACACAGCTAGTCCAAGTTAAGTGAAACAATACTTTATTTCATTAAAATTTTAAAGCATATCTTTACTTCAAATGCATTTCAGGTTAATATAATATAACTTTATTAGCCTAAAATGCATTGATGTAAAGATATGCTTTAAAGGTTTAATGAAATAAAGTCTTGGGTACTTGGGTTAGCTGTGTGAAAAATCAATCTATTAGGATTAAAGTGTTTTTTGAATCTATCAATGTATATTCTTTAACAAAGTTATTATACTGAAAAAAAAATAATATGTTAAAAAATTGCTTATCAATGTTTTAATTCATCTTTACATTTATATTTTAAAGTTATAAAGTTTTATTGGCCTTATAATTACTCTTAAAGTATTAAAAACTTAAATCCAGTTATAGTTATTATACACTAAGAAATAATTTATGAAATTCAGAAACTTTAAAACATAATTTAGGAAACATATGAACTTACAGTTTTAAAATGATTCTCAAGTTCTCTATAAAACATTTTGAATTATTTTGTTCTAAATAAAAATTTAATTTTTTTTTGTAGTAACTTTTAATTTTGTCTATAAAAACAAAACACAGCGACAGTCTTTTGAATTCATTTAGAGCACTATCACCAATGACAGCAATACCTGGTTTATAGAAAGCAAGGAAGAAGAATAAATAAATTAATTATTTTATTTCACATTAGAGATTGAGAACTATAATATAAATGTTTTTCTGAAAACTAATCTATTAAAAAAACATTTTAACAGTCAATAAAAATTGTGCATTTTAAATAGTTATCAAATTGATTAATTAAAATTGATATAGATGATTTTAAAAAATCCTCTTTATTAGCCTTTATTTGAATTTTTTAATTCATTGCAATTTAGGATTAAAATCATCAGTTATGTTGCAATGAAATTATACAAAATTAATAAGATAATTAGATTGAATAGAAAAATTATTTAAAATATTTAATTATTTCAAAATAAAAATTTTAAGTATCTAACTTGTAATGTGAAGCACCAATACTCTCCTAATGAATAACATATAAAATTAGACAATAGTTTGAGAAGAAAATGCATTATTATTTTACTATTTTATTTTTAAATAAAATAGTTAAATGATTTATAGTTTACAGTTTAAAAAAAAAATATATATATGGAACATTAACATTTGATAAGCTATTTTTTCCAGGATATTTTTCAGAATTTGTTTATTATACAGTAATTGAAATGAAAAGGCAGAAATAGAATTTTTTCAATTAAAAAATTACAATTTTGAATTTTAATATTATTTTCATATTTACAATCTAAAATACATGATATATTTCAGTTAATACATTATAGTAATTTACATAATCTTACTGATAATTTATATATAGGATTGAAAAATGTTTAAAGGAAATTGAATCATATCTTAAAAAACTTGAATGTAAACAAGAGAAGAAAACTGCAAAAATATCACCAAACAATGTTTCAGGAAAGGTTCCATTGCATGAGTTGTTAGAAGAAATGGTAAGCAGATTTTTAAAAATTAATTTATCTTACAATTAATATCAAGATAATTTCAAATTCTGCAATTAGATTAATGATTGAGAAAATATTTCTTTTAATAAATAAACAAGTCATTACTACACAACATTTTAAAAAGATTCAGTCATGTACTGTACTAAGTTTGCTAATGCATTTATCATTAGGAATTTGATAAATATGTTATTCAATTTGTAGTATTTTGATTTGATAAATTCAAAATGAAATAAATACAGAATTTGAAAAAAGCTGTAAAAATTTATTATAAAAAAATGAAATATTAATAAAATACAGTAATCACTTTGAGTACTAGTTTATAAAATAAAAAAACAAAGAAATGTTAAAAAATAAATTTATAATTAACTTAAAAATTTATTAATTATATTAATAATTACTTGAATAGCTTATCCAGTGTTATTTGGTGGCTTTATTTTTTGCAATATTTTAATAAAATCTATATTCATAATATTTTCAAAATTCAACACATCTGTCATGATAAAGTACTTGCAGAGTTCTCACATCTGAGTATTTGTTGGAGGATTTAGACTATCTTAATCTTGATTTTCTTAAATTTTATTAGGTAATTATCCAGAGCCTTCTTCAGCAACAGTTTGGTATATTTCTGATGATGTCATCAGACAATAGAATTTCCTTGTCAATTACCAGCCAGTTTTAAACTTTTCACATATCTTCTAGAGTGTTATTTTAATATGATTCTTCCTCCTCAACAGTTACAACTTTACTTTCAGATGTCTCAATACCTATTTTTAAGAAAACACTCTGTTTAAAACAATTATCTATGGTTTTTCTCAGATATTTGATCCCACAACATTGCCAAAAGATTTAGTGCATCAAGATTTTTAGCAATAGAAGACATATCAGTTTGTTTTTGACTATTATCTAGTTCTCCTAAAATTCTTGCATATATTTCATTTTTGTAGTATGCTTTTATGTTATATGATTTCTCGGTTGCAAGCTGAATCAAAGATATGTTCACAGAAAGGAATATTATTATTATGTTTTTTTTTTTAATGACACATTTTTAATATATAAATGTTCTATACAATTGTCTACCAACAAAACAATCTTCCATTTCAAGTTTCTATCCCATTTAATTAATCGGTTAAAAATATCAGTTATCTTCCAGGTATTTGCATTTTCAGTAATCCAGCAATAAATGTTTCATGTTTTTAAAACATCTAGGATTTTTACTAAAATCACTAAAAGTCTTTGTTTCTGGTCTTATAGTTTATTGCTGTGCTAATATGTAATATATTCCTTCAGTGATTTAAATCTTTTAGCACTTTCATATTTAAACATAAAATGATCAGGCATTGCCAAAAATAAAATGCTGTTTCATCAGCATTGTGATATTCCTTGGTAAATATAATTTTTGGCCACTATCTTTATCCACAGTTTAGTGACACAGAATCAGAACTTCTCTTCTCACCATGAGACATCTGTACAAAATGTTTTCTGATTTTCTATACTTGAATCACCTGTCAATTGCAATAAAATCTTTCTTATCCACATTTTCAGCTAAATCATGTTTTATGACTTTAGTGGTTTATTAAAAGGTACATTCATCATAAACATTACTAAACCAATGCTTCACTATCTTTTCCAGTTATATTTCTCTTACAAATCATGTTCTCATTTTTTCCCTGCTGACATTTTAATATTTACTCTGTTTTTCAAAATCTTGCACAAAACTGGCTATGAAATTTTTAACTATGCAGCCGCTTGTATTGACTGATTTTTGGCAACTTAGGTAGCATTTTAAAATTTCAAGTTTATCTTTGAGGGACAAATCTTTGCATTTCTTATTTGCTTCTTCCATAATGCTAAGAGTTACAGTAAAATACTGTAATTAAACAGTAATGAAGATCACAGCCTTTCTTAGCAACAGCAAACAGCTAGCCTATAAATTAAATACCAGTAAGTACAGTACAAGAAATCAAAATTTCAACTGCAATAGTCTACTTTATAACAATATTAACTGCAACATTAAAATGCATGTTTAGCATATTAAAAGTAAACATTTTATATGATTGGATGATTTAATTTAAATTGATTTTGACCATTTTTATTGGTATGACAAGCCTTACTGTTGTTTTGTTTTGTCCAGTTTGTTTGCTTGTTTTGTCAGTTAGCAGTTATTAATCATCTAAGTAAATTCAAACTTATCATTAGTAACATACATAATTAGTAATGATAATTATATGTGAATTTCTGATTACAATAAGTGAAAGTTTTTGTAATATTATTTAATTTATATGTTTTGAGGCTCATTGATTCTAATAATATTATATGACTGTTAAGAATACAGTGGCATGAGGTGACATTTGATGATAGGGAAGCTGTGCTGGCCCTGGGTGGAATCATTGGAAGCATTATACAATATTTTGGTGTGTAGCATTCACCAGCTAAACTGTGTGAGGTTGGTGCTCTGTAAAGTGCATGCGTAATCTGGCTGCTTTACACCATTTAAATATTTTCACCAGGAAGCTGTCCCGTATTCGACAATACAGTGCTTCCATTGGGAATATGATATATGGATTTATATTCGAATATACAATAGCAATCTTGTCATTTTTTTCACATGTTGTATAGAAATTTGTAATAAAGTACATATTGCAGTTATAATAAAATATTAATTTTAATAAATTCAAACTACGTTAAAATATGAAAATAATTGTGCAATATGTATTTATATATTAGAAAATACAAGGGAAACGGTGCTTTCACAGCTTCCATGGACAGCACGCCACTGTAACAATATAATATCCATAATTACAATAAGTGGCTTGCACTGTGTTTAAAAGAATAGAAAACTAAATTTAATTCTAGATGAAAATGAATCTGATATATATATATATATATATTTTCATGACAGATATATATATATCTGTCATGAAAACTTAGAACTATTTCACTATTTGTTGTTACTCTTGCACTCAAAGAAACTACGAGTTGCACCCCTCTAGTTCAGATCCTGGGTATGCTGCTGTATGTTCTTCCTACTATATTTCCACTCTTCATTCCTTTAATATTTATAGCTTTTGATTGTAAATTTAATCTTATTAACATTAATAAATTTCTAGTATCATTATAGAAATGACTTACTCTCATGATTATGGATGGAGAACATCTGCATATTTTTTTTATCCTTTATGTTTTGAAGCTTTGAAATAAAAAAGTTTTTAAAAATTGTTTACGTAGTTCATGAGATATAAATTTTTGAAGTATGTATATATAATTTTGAAATACCTTGTGTGTATGTATATATATGATATAAAATGATATATATATATATATCATTAAAATGATATATATAAAATGATATATATATATATATCNGTATGTATATATATGATATAAAATGATATATATATATATATCATTTTATATATATCATTTTAATGATATATATATATATATCATTTTATATCATATATATACATACACACAAGGTATTTCAAAATTATATATACATACTTCAAAAATTTATATCTCATGAACTACGTAAACAATTTTTAAAAACTTTTTTATTTCAAAGCTTCAAAACATAAAGGATAAAAAAAATATGCAGATGTTCTCCATCCATAATCATGAGAGAAAGTCATTTCTATAATGATACTAGAAATTTATTAATGTTAATAAGATTAAATTTACAATCAAAAGCTATAAATATTAAAGGAATGAAGAGTGGAAATATAGTAGGAAGAACATACAGCAGCATACCCAGGATCTGAACTAGAGGGGTGCAACTCGTAGTTTCTTTGAGTGCAAGAGTAACAACAAATAGTGAAATAGTTCTAAGTTTTCATGACAGATGGTTCTAGGCTCTAGTCAAGTCACAATATTCATTATTCAAATTGATACTAAATTGATACATCTGTGCTGTATGTCAATTACTATTTTTTCTTCTAGAGGGGGCAGTTTATGTTCTCAAGTTGTACCCTTCCCTAGGTACACTCTTGAGAACATAAACTCTAACTGAATTGTTTTTTGATTTATAGAACTGTTGAAGAATGATATGTTTCATTATCATTACTTGAGGTGAACATTTTGAACATCCTACTTCAATTTATTTAAGTTATCAAAATAAACCAAAGTTACTGTACATCACAACAGCCTGGGCATGACCAGGCTATTGTGATTGTAGTAACGAGGACAAGTGTATGTTAGAATGCAGTTGTAACACAAAACAAAACGGACAAATTTATCTGTTTTGTTCTACATTATACAGTATATATTTGAAGATGTTAGTACTTGCAAGTGAGAACCAATTTGGTTTGGCAGGGGGACCTCCCTTGTATAGAGAAATCTCCTTGTCCCTTCTGTTTCAAACCTGCAGTTTTGTGTCACACTCTCACATATGGGACTTGTCTGTTGGATACACATCCTATGTTTTTCTTGTTTTAATCTTCAGAATAAAAGGAGTTGTCTCTGTTACAAATGTTCATCGTCTCTCTGTCTCCTTAATGAATCCCAAACATTAACAGATGTCTGTTGTATATGGATGAAAACATTAGTAAATAATTAGTAATTTGATATAGTGGTTTTGTGTATGTCAATTAATATCTCCTAGTTTTGAAAAGTTATTAATTACATTCTTAACACTTTTTTACATACTGTTTAATTTTTTCCATAACATTATCATTCTTTTAGATAATGTAACTTTAACAGATAATCAATGTATAATTGAAATTTAATAAAGTTACAATACTTTGATATTTCTAATATAATTTAAAAAGTTATAGGCTATGTGAAATTTTATAAAAGTTTTTGATAATAGATGAAATGTTATGTTAGGATTATAAAAATGATCATTCTATATACATTAACTTATAATAATATGAAAATTAATAAATTAATATTTTTTGTATAGAGAAATACATTGCAAGAATATGGATTGGAAGAACTATTAATACCACATTTGGAAGAATTAAAGAAACAAAATGACCTACCACACTTAGTTTCCATAGGAAAAAAGTATGATGAATATGATTTACAAAATGTCTCAGAAGAAATGAAAACTAATATTTTATGGGAAATGATTTCTTTTCACATTATGACATATATAAAGAAGAAATTGAAAATTATTCATAAGAATCATTATTTATCACAATACAATACTTTTCATAAGTATCTTATATGTTATTATTTACGGAATTTATCAGAATTAATTATGGTAACTCGAATGTGGGAATTGCATCAAAATATTAGAATAAATATACTTGAAGAACTGAAATGCTTATGTCCATCAAAAACTAAAGAAGTCTGTTTACAGTGCTTATTAATTACTAGTACAGACTTTATTTTAGAAGATAAAGAATTAATTTGTAATGGGTATTTTCAACCACTTGTTGTTACATGGACAGAAATTACTAAGATATATATTCAATTTATTGCACAAAAATACACAAAATTATTAGAAAACATTAGTCAGATGAGAAAAATGAATGAGAATGATTGGCTATCAAGTTTTTCAATGCAATGTTTTTTGAAAATGCAACCATCATGTCAATTAAAGTATGAAAATAAATTTTTAATGAGTACAAAAAGGATACATCCAATAGTTGTTAAAAATATATCAAACAAAGNATAAATAAAATAATTTTAATTATTTATTTGAAAGAAAAACTACAAAAACAATTTACATAGATTCTGCAGATTCTGAAATGAAACTAAATTTTTCTGCCAAAAATGGCAAAATTATTTCCATAACATAATGCCATATATTGGAGGAATAGTGAAATAAATATTTAACCACAGTGAATGCATCAGAGACATTAAAGTTTTTAGAGCATTTTTTGCAATGAATGTATGACCTATGTCAAAGCCAAAAAAGCAATCATTGCATGTAAATGTATGGGGGTACAACAGTGACAGAGAAAGGGTTAAATAATTATAAAAAGCTATTGTATCATATTAAAAACATGAAAATAATTTTTTTAAATCTTATTTTGTTGATATTCTTTACTTAAAATTTTTCTGGGGGGTTTTTAACTGAACGAATTTCATTGATAATGAGTTGTTATTATTTTTATTTTCTGATCCAAATCAATCACATTATCATAAACTTAAAGCTATCCATCAACCAAAAACCAAATATTATTGAACTAATATAGCCCAATAATATTTGGGTTTGGTTGATGGATAGCTTTAATCATATCGGGTATAGNTTTTTAATATGGTACTTTCTTGGTATTATGAAAGAAATATTTTTATCTTGAAATTCAATATACTTAATTTTTATATTAAAATATTTCAGGTATCCCATTAATGGTTCCAAATGATAGTCCAGAACAGTCACCCATTCATATCCAGTTATCTGATAATAATGAAAGTTTACCTTTTAATTGGAATTGGAGGTAAAATTGTTTAATAATTTTCTTTTGATTTGACTAACCTAAATTACTTCTAGAATGAAAATATTTTTAAGACATAAGTTGAAAAATTTTTGTTTCAAAAACCAATTAAATTAGATGTTATATTTGAAGAGCTTCCTTGACAAATATCTTTTGATTTGATTCTGTTAATATTTGCTCAGAACTATATTGCAAAGAGTAGTGAAGAAAATAAAGTAAAATTTAAAATAATTAAATATACAAGTACAATGCTATTTTAAAACTTATAGCAACACACAATTTTCAATTACATTTTAGTTTGTAAATATTTACTTTTAAAGAATGAACTGCAAAGGTTATACTGAAAGCAATAGCTAATATTTTATTATGAATAAACTTTTTGGTAACAAAAAAAATGCATGATATACTGTATATCTGGTGATGACATACCATCTAACTCTAAAATATGAAATGATATCTATCACTTGCATTGGCCATGTTATAACAATATGGTATAAGAAAATAGTGAGGAATATCATATCATTTCAACAGCATGCAGTGACTGAATTCTTATTAAGAGGAAACTGCTGCAGTTGATATTATACTAAAGATTAAATGCATATATGAAGAAATTTGCAGTGTGAGGTGAACAAATGAAGCATTAAACATTTTAAGAATAGAATAAATAAATCAGTTTTAAGGTGGTTATTTCAACACTGTCTTTAATGAAATCAACAAAGACAGATTAAGGCTTTGATAACAAGGAATCAATAGGTCACAGTCTAAGAAGCTATAGTGTATTTTTGAATTGGTCACTGTGCCATGTAAGAGATGGAGAAGAGTGTGGGATATCTGATAGTTTGTTATTGTTACTTGCCTTGATTACTGTCAGATGATCAGAAATTTGAACTCCCCATATAGTTTGGATTAGTATTTTTAGATTATCATCTGTTTGATTTATAAAGGAGCTGATGCAGAACTAGCATTAAGAAAATTATACAGCAGTCAAGCAAGCTATGCTTTATTGTGTTCAGACAGTTGAAACAGATTTCTACAAGAAAATTTTCAAATTTTTAGAATGATGGCAAATTCATTTCTCTCAAAATGGAACTTTTATAACAAAAATAGACACACAATTTATAGCAACATGAAATATTTTCTTTTTGGTACCATTATTTAGAAATAGAATTTAATGTGACAAAAACTTTCACTATCTCCTCCATTAATAAAACTTATACCAATAACTGTTCTTTGTATGATAAGTTACTGAAAAAAAGCCAAAAATTTTAGCTTTTTTAAAAAATTCACAAATACATAATTCTCTATATTTTAAATAGTATTAAATTTTTAATAAAATTATGCAATTAAAACATTATATATAGAATAAATTTCATTAATATAAAGTATTAGAATGAGTCAAATGAAAGTTAGTGATTTATTTGCATACTGTTATCTGTAAGTTAAAAGTAAGCCAAGTAAACAAAGTAGACAAGCCAGATATTTCCATTTTTACATAAGTCTTTTTTGGTTTCTGCTTTAAAAAGTCTATGATCCCTTTTGCATCTCTGTATATGAGGCAATCCTGCTATCTTTGTGGTGCTTTTTGAATTTAGCAAATACATGACAGTCACATGGTAAATGGTCCAAACTGTAGGGTGAAACACTGCAACAACTCTACACAGTAATCAAAAATAAGCTCAAAGACTTGTCAGATGGCATGATTCACTTGCATGACAATGCAAAACTGAACACTTCCAATGTAACTTGTGACAAGCTTGAGAACATCAAATAGGAAATTCTGCAACATCCATCTGACAATCCAGACCTTTCATCATGTGACATTTATTATACAGTATGTTCAATATAAAGCTTGTCTTAATAAAGGCAAGTATGACATCCTAAACTTTTCTTTAGATTAAATTTTATTGCTTTTATAATAATTATAACCAATAATTGTAAAATTATTTTAAAATGTGATCATTGTAATGCTATAAACTTATTTCAAAATATTATTAATTAATTTGTTTTTTAGGTATATATTTCAGGATTTTGGATTTCTTACTTTTATTCAAAGATGTTTACAAGATCAGATGCAAAATCATATTCAGTTTTGTTTGACAAAAGAATGGAAATTAATTTCATGGTATAAAAGATTACCTTCTGTTACTGTTGAATCTGGATTACAAAGAAATAAGAAAATTCTCATATTCAGTATAGCTTGTGTTATTGAAGAGTTAGACAAATTTAGTCCTTTACTTTCTTCCTGTCAAGGTGTTTTTCTTCCTTTTCATGCAACATTTAATCATGTCCTTCATACATATGTAATAGAATTATTGTCTCATGTTGAACGTATTTCATCTGCCATTCCACAAAAATTATCTCTTGAGAACTTGTATATTCTTTTAGCAAGTACTGCATTTCTTAAGGAAAGGCTTTTATTATACACTCAAGAAATGAATTATATAAAAGAAGAAAATAAGTAAGTATGATTATTTTTGTATATTTAAATATGTATTTAAACATAAAAGAAATTATTAATAAATATTCTTTCGTATCATAATATACAGTGTTTTTCAATAGTAATTTTTCATAGGAGTTTGTACAGTAAAGTTGTAGGCAAAGTATCAGGGGGAAGTTATACTGTACTGGTAATATATTGCATCATTTTGGGTCTGTAATACTGTCAAATGGAAATTAGTTGTTTGAAATTCATATGTGTTGTTTCACTTCACTTCAGTTGAAAGTAGCCCAGTTGCATAGTCCTGTAACTCACAATTAGGTATATTGTAAGGATTAAACTTGTTCTATTTGATACATAAAACATTACCAGTTTTTTGTTGATATATTTAATTCTACTTAAATAAAACTAAAAATAACAATAAAAAATTTGTTGTATTTTTGCTATCATTTGCATATCAACTATTCAAATAAGTTCAGTCCTCGCAACATACTGGCTAGTTACAGAACTAATCAGTATGCAACATTAGTTAAAAGTGATTTGATCCCATACATATGAATTTTGTGCAATTAAATTTTGTTTAATTTTGGGTATTGCAAACCCAAAATGATGCATCATATAACCAATACACTATACACTTATCCCTTATGCTTTGCCTACAAGCTTCTCTGCACAATCTGCTATGGCACATTTCTCTTGATAAACATTGGTATATTATAATCATTTTTTGCAGTAGGTAAATAGTCATTGAAGTGTATTTTTATTATTGCAAATTGATAATTTACTGTTTTTGGGAATTTATTATAGTAAACATATCAATAAAGTCTAGTGCTTTCATAAGTGCCTTATGAAATTGTTTTTACAAAATTAGCCAAATTAGTTCTGCAAGAAAATTTTATCTCTGATAGTGAATCATTAAATATTTTAACATACAAATAAATAAGTTGAATTTATTATTCTCTGCTTAAATAACACATTCTTTTCTCAAATTTGATCAACTCTCCACTTTGTTAGTTAAACATTAAATATTTGCATTTAAATAAAAGAGAAAGATTTTTTAAATTTTATTAATAATATTATCTCTTTAATATGTTTACTTTTCTGATTCTTGAAAATAAAAAATAAAATAAAAACTTTCTCAATCTCTTTCTTGCCTAATATCAGGCAAATTCTCTGATCTTGCTTAGCATGTGCCGCATGCTTAAGAAAAAGTTTTGACTGTCAATATACTTTTTATATGAAAACAAATATGCCAATAATAATTTATTCTAATGTGTAAACTCATATCATTTGTGTTTGCTTTTACATTGACAGCTAGTGGCTAGCCGTTTTAAGTCAGTGCCATGCTTGCGGGAACTTGATCGCTTGCTCATGTGGAGTTTGCTGCAGCAAACAAGTACACACTCGTGATGTCATTTGAAGCATTTAACATGGCCATATTGTATCGAAAGCTTGTGATACTCAGTCAGCATACATGTAGTGTGTACAGGGGTAGATCTACATAGGGACTAATAGGGCTTAAGCCCTGGGCTCCCAGTGTCAAGGGTTCACAAAATTTGAATTATTAAAATAAATTTTTAATACTTTTCCATTATAATATATTTTATATATTTCATATGTAGATATAATGGGCTTTATAATAGTCCATACTTTTTATTCACATCAAATAACATTTCTATCTATTGTTGAGTGCTAGAGATAGGCCTATTATTCTTATAACTTTCAGCATGCCCAAAAATTTTGATCAGGATTTGCCCCTGCCTAATATTGTTTGCCACTCTGTTTAGGTAGTCAAACTGCATTGCTTTTAAGAGCCACCACAAACTACTGCTTTGTGAGAGCAAAATGCTAGTGCACGTTTGCTAGCATTTTGCTCTCGTAGTTTGCAGTGGCTCTAAGGTTATAGATTGTCAGTATTTGAAACACTGATAGAAGGGCCATCTCTTTAATTGATAGAATGATTTAAAAAAATTGTAATTTTGATAAGTTTCAAAAATTAAAGTGATTGCAGTCAGGTTTAATGATTGTATGTAGCATTTATAAAATAGCAAACTATTTACAAATATTTGAAAGTAACTATTTGTAAAAATATTTGTATTTAATTTTCAATTATTTATACTTTGAAAATATTTTATTTTTGTTCATTTAGAAATAATACATTGACAGTAACATTACAAGATAAAGTAAGTAAACTAGAAGATTTATTGCTACAAAAAGTGTTAAATTATCAAATTAAGTTACTTGTATCTGGCATTTTACAAGATGCTGATAGTCACAACTGGAGTTTTCACAAACCATTTTTTGAGGTAAAATGTAAATGTTTTGACAAAAACTTTCACTATCTCCTCCATTAATAAAACTTATACCAATAACTGTTCTTTGTATGATAAGTTACTGAAAAAAAGCCAAAAATTTTAGCTTTTTTAAAAAATCCACAAATACATAATTCTCTATATTTTAAATAGTATTAAATTTTTAATAAAATTATGCAATTAAAACATTATATATAGAATAAATTTCATTAATATAAAGTATTAGAATGAGTCAAATGAAAGTTAGTGATTTATTTGCATACTGTTATCTGTAAGTTAAAAGTAAGCCAAGTAAAAAAAGTAGACAAGCCAGATATTTCCATTTTTACATAAGTCTTTTTTGGTTTCTGCTTTAAAAAGTCTATGATCCCTTTTGCATCTCTGTATATGAGGCAATCCTGCTATCTTTGTGGTGCTTTTTGAATTTAGCAAATACATGACAGTCACATGGTAAATGGTCCAAACTGTAGGGTGAAACACTGCAACAACTCTACACAGTAATCAAAAATAAGCTCAAAGACTTGTCAGATGGCATGATTCACTTGCATGACAATGCAAAACTGAACACTTCCAATGTAACTTGTGACAAGCTTGAGAACATCAAATAGGAAATTCTGCAACATCCATCTGACAATCCAGACCTTTCATCATGTGACATTTATTATACAGTATGTTCAATATAAAGCTTGTCTTAATAAAGGCAAGTATGACATCCTAAACTTTTCTTTAGATTAAATTTTATTGCTTTTATAATAATTATAACCAATAATTGTAAAATTATTTTAAAATGTGATCATTGTAATGCTATAAACTTATTTCAAAATATTATTAATTAATTTGTTTTTTAGGTATATATTTCAGGATTTTGGATTTCTTACTTTTATTCAAAGATGTTTACAAGATCAGATGCAAAATCATATTCAGTTTTGTTTGACAAAAGAATGGAAATTAATTTCATGGTATAAAAGATTACCTTCTGTTACTGTTGAATCTGGATTACAAAGAAATAAGAAAATTCTCATATTCAGTATAGCTTGTGTTATTGAAGAGTTAGACAAATTTAGTCCTTTACTTTCTTCCTGTCAAGGTGTTTTTCTTCCTTTTCATGCAACATTTAATCATGTCCTTCATACATATGTAATAGAATTATTGTCTCATGTTGAACGTATTTCATCTGCCATTCCACAAAAATTATCTCTTGAGAACTTGTATATTCTTTTAGCAAGTACTGCATTTCTTAAGGAAAGGCTTTTATTATACACTCAAGAAATGAATTATATAAAAGAAGAAAATAAGTAAGTATGATTATTTTTGTATATTTAAATATGTATTTAAACATAAAAGAAATTATTAATAAATATTCTTTCGTATCATAATATACAGTGTTTTTCAATAGTAATTTTTCATAGGAGTTTGTACAGTAAAGTTGTAGGCAAAGTATCAGGGGGAAGTTATACTGTACTGGTAATATATTGCATCATTTTGGGTCTGTAATACTGTCAAATGGAAATTAGTTGTTTGAAATTCATATGTGTTGTTTCACTTCACTTCAGTTGAAAGTAGCCCAGTTGCATAGTCCTGTAACTCACAATTAGGTATATTGTAAGGATTAAACTTGTTCTATTTGATACATAAAACATTACCAGTTTTTTGTTGATATATTTAATTCTACTTAAATAAAACTAAAAATAACAATAAAAAATTTGTTGTATTTTTGCTATCATTTGCATATCAACTATTCAAATAAGTTCAGTCCTCGCAACATACTGGCTAGTTACAGAACTAATCAGTATGCAACATTAGTTAAAAGTGATTTGATCCCATACATATGAATTTTGTGCAATTAAATTTTGTTTAATTTTGGGTATTGCAAACCCAAAATGATGCATCATATAACCAATACACTATACACTTATCCCTTATGCTTTGCCTACAAGCTTCTCTGCACAATCTGCTATGGCACATTTCTCTTGATAAACATTGGTATATTATAATCATTTTTTGCAGTAGGTAAATAGTCATTGAAGTGTATTTTTATTATTGCAAATTGATAATTTACTGTTTTTGGGAATTTATTATAGTAAACATATCAATAAAGTCTAGTGCTTTCATAAGTGCCTTATGAAATTGTTTTTACAAAATTAGCCAAATTAGTTCTGCAAGAAAATTTTATCTCTGATAGTGAATCATTAAATATTTTAACATACAAATAAATAAGTTGAATTTATTATTCTCTGCTTAAATAACACATTCTTTTCTCAAATTTGATCAACTCTCCACTTTGTTAGTTAAACATTAAATATTTGCATTTAAATAAAAGAGAAAGATTTTTTAAATTTTATTAATAATATTATCTCTTTAATATGTTTACTTTTCTGATTCTTGAAAATAAAAAATAAAATAAAAACTTTCTCTATCTCTTTCTTGCCTAATATCAGGCAAATTCTCTGATCTTGCTTAGCATGTGCCGCATGCTTAAGAAAAAGTTTTGACTGTCAATATACTTTTTATATGAAAACAAATATGCCAATAATAATTTATTCTAATGTGTAAACTCATATCATTTGTGTTTGCTTTTACATTGACAGCTAGTGGCTAGCCGTTTTAAGTCAGTGCCATGCTTGCGGGAACTTGATCGCTTGCTCATGTGGAGTTTGCTGCAGCAAACAAGTACACACTCGTGATGTCATTTGAAGCATTTAACATGGCCATATTGTATCGAAAGCTTGTGATACTCAGTCAGCATACATGTAGTGTGTACAGGGGTAGATCTACATAGGGACTAATAGGGCTTAAGCCCTGGGCTCCCAGTGTCAAGGGTTCACAAAATTTGAATTATTAAAATAATTTTTTAATACTTTTCCATTATAATATATTTTATATATTTCATATGTAGATATAATGGGCTTTATAATAGTCCATACTTTTTATTCACATCAAATAACATTTCTATCTATTGTTGAGTGCTAGAGATAGGCCTATTATTCTTATAACTTTCAGCATGCCCAAAAATTTTTATCAGGATTTGCCCCTGCCTAATATTGTTTGCCACTCTGTTTAGGTAGTCAAACTGCATTGCTTTTAAGAGCCACCACAAACTACTGCTTTGTGAGAGCAAAATGCTAGTGCACGTTTGCTAGCATTTTGCTCTCGTAGTTTGCAGTGGCTCTAAGGTTATAGATTGTCAGTATTTGAAACACTGATAGAAGGGCCATCTCTTTAATTGATAGAATGATTTAAAAAAATTGTAATTTTGATAAGTTTCAAAAATTAAAGTGATTGCAGTCAGGTTTAATGATTGTATGTAGCATTTATAAAATAGCAAACTATTTACAAATATTTGAAAGTAACTATTTGTAAAAATATTTGTATTTAATTTTCAATTATTTATACTTTGAAAATATTTTATTTTTGTTCATTTAGAAATAATACATTGACAGTAACATTACAAGATAAAGTAAGTAAACTAGAAGATTTATTGCTACAAAAAGTGTTAAATTATCAAATTAAGTTACTTGTATCTGGCATTTTACAAGATGCTGATAGTCACAACTGGAGTTTTCACAAACCATTTTTTGAGGTAAAATGTAAATGTTTAAATTATATTTATTAAATTAAATTAAATTTGGATATAGAAAATTTTAAAATTTATTTATTTTAAGTTATAAAACAATTATTATATAAAATTCAAAGATTTAACTATTAATATTCATAAAAAAAGAAAGGATGGTAATATTGCTTGTTAATGAAATTGCAGAATTGGTCTGAAAAAGATAAAATATTTCATTTAATATTTCATTTAATAAAATATAAAATATATAATTAATATGCAATTATAGAATATTATATTATGGTGAATTTTAAATGCCAATAACTATNCGGGTATAGTAAAGATGGTTGATTAATAATAAAATTATTTTGAAGGTATGTTTAAATTATACCAAAAAATTTAACTTCAAAGTGATGTAAGTCAGAGACTGACTATATTTAATATATATAATAGAAAACAATTTTTAAATTATTGAATAAATTATAATTATTTTTCATTATAAACACTAATTTATATTAAATAGTATTTATTAATTTTAGGTAACTATCATTGATAGCATACACAATTACTGCTATATGCTATTAACTATTATGACAATTGTAACATCCCCTTTACCAACATTATATAAGATCATTAAAAAAGGAATACCATCATCTTATAAGCAAATGAATTATCTACCCTGGTTATCATGTATTCAACCAGCAGTGTATGCTTACATTGGTCAAGGAAAATTAATATCCAGTTCTTCGGTTTGGTTAAATGTTAAACTGTCTATATCACAAATGGAACTTGAACCATATCTTGTTATAAAGGTAATAAAATAAAACTAATATATTTAATTTCTTTTTAAGTTTAAAGATTTATTTGAATCTATTAAGTTCATTTAAAGTTAATATCAACTATTCAATAATTTGCCAAAAATTATTAAGTTATGTAATTTAAATAATTTACGTGACTGTACAGGTTAATATAAGTAGGTATACCACTGTATGTTAATAAATTAATTATTAACTAATTTAAATTAATTTAATTATATTAATAAAATCATCAGGCTTATAAGGTTACATAAGATTTATACCATTCGTAGATCCTTATTTAAATTATTAAATAGTTAGTATTAATAATAAATGAAAATTGTAATGTTTTATATTTATTTAAAGTTATTAATATAAGTTTATTCAGGCAAAATGAATGAAAATAAATAATATTTAATTTTCTTCTTTAAGATCAGGGATATTTTTCAGCTAGAACATGCTGATATGCCATACAGGTAGACAGCATGAAAAAGTATCAGTAGCCAATATGAAGTACCAATAAATGCTCAGTAAAAACAATACTATATGTTCTGTTGCCATATATGCAGTAATTTTTTAGAGTACTTTTTAAGACCAATTCACTATAACTAGTAATGATTGACAAAATACACTTAATGTTTTTGTTACATTTGCAGACACATTGTCAATTTGTACTATATTTTATACATATTTTATCCTTTTATCACAATCATTATAAATGTTATATATTTTTATATAACCATTTATATTCTTACATAACATTATAATTAACTTTTCTTCTTTTTATAAAAAAATTAGGTTCAAAGTAAAAATAAACAAACTTAAATTGTAAAAGAATTTAATTAGAATTAGAAACATTAATATCTATTGGTATTAGTAATCCGAAACTGAAATTTCTGGTAATTCATAATTGACATTCTTTTCAGTTCCAGTCAGATCAATTAGAATGGATACATAAAATATTTTTGCATAATTATTACCATGCTAGTAAACAAACAATAATTTTTTAAAACTCATTTTGCTCATAATGTTGATGTCAATTAATGTGAATTAGGCTTCATTAACATATGTTTAAAATGTTTTCTAATTCAAGTATCCCTCGTATCACATGGTAGTCATGTTCTGAAAAAGTGCTATGTTATGTGAATTCATGCTATGGGTTGATGAAAAAGTTCGTACCGTTTTTAGCACCAGCTGGCTTTACACCGCAACACTGAAGTGTTATTTCCTTCATATGTGTAAAATTTCAATGTTGTTTGACAAAAGGGATCTCAGCTAGTATTTGAGAATAAAGTTGTNCTATGTGAATTCATGCTATGGGTTGATGAAAAAGTTCGTACCGTTTTTAGCACCAGCTGGCTTTACACCGCAACACTGAAGTGTTATTTCCTTCATATGTGTAAAATTTCAATGTTGTTTGACAAAAGGGATCTCAGCTAGTATTTGAGAATAAAGTTGTGTTACTTAGTTGTGTTTTTAAAATTTTGTTAAGCATTACAAATGGCAGAAAATAAGGAGCATTTTCGACATATTATGCTTTTTTATTTCCGAAAAGGCAAAAATGCTTCGCAGACACAATAAAAGATATGTTCTGTGTATGGTGAGGGAGCCATTGATGATTCCACGTGCCGTAAGTGGTTCAGAAAGTTTTGTGAAAGCAATTTTAACCTTAGCAATGCACCACGTTCTGGTTGACCAGCCAAGGCTGATGACAACAAAATATTGACACTAATTGAAAGTGATTGACACAAAACAACTCGAGAGATTGGAGAAATTCTTGGAATCAATTAGTTAACAGTGTCAAGGTGATTACATCAACTTGGAATGGTTAGCAAGGCTGATGTATGTGTGCCACATGAGTTAAAAGAAAAATATTTGATAGACCGAATTTCTGCTTGCAATTCCCTATTGAAGCACAATGAAATTGATCCATTTTTAAAGTGAATGATTACAGGTGATGAAAAATGGATTGTGTATAATAATGTTAAGCATAAAAGATCATGGTGTAAGCACGGAGATGCCCTTTCAACCAGCGCAAAAGCCAGTTTAATCCAAAGAAGGTTATGCTATGCATTTGGTGTGACTGGAAGGGAATCATTTATAATGAGCTGTTACCTGAAAATCAGACCATTAATTTAGAGAAATACTGTTCACAACTAAGTGAATTAAAGCGAGCAATTGACCAGAAGCGACCTGAATTAGCCAACAGAAAGGGCATTGTGTTTCATCAAGACAATGCTAGACCACACGTGTCTTTGGCCACCCAACAAAAACTTTTACAACTTGATTGGGATGTTTTGATCCATCCACCATACTCTCCTGACCTTGCACCCTCTGACTACCATTTATTTAGATCACTTCAAAACAGCTTAGATGGTAAAAACTTTACTTCCTTGGAAGACTTGAAAAATCACCTGGATCAGTTTTTCAGCCAGAAATTTCAGAAATTCTATGAGCATGGGATTATGCAGCTACTAGAGAGATGGAGAAAGGTCATTGAACAGAATGGCACATACTATATTGATTAAATGTAAGTTTTAGTAAATTAAATTTTTCTTTGATTCTTTTTAAAAAAAACGGGACGAACTTTTGCATCAACCCAAATATATGAAACAAAGGACTAATGCAAAACATGGGATTACATTCCAGAAGTTAATAAAAGTATACTTTTCTTTTTCATCACTAAGAGAAATATGTCTATTAAAGCAGTCAATACTTTATTGCCGATCAATAATTAACTAACAATCACAATTAAAAGTACTATATTACATGTTAATATTAATTTTGTTGATATTTTTTACTTTATTTAAAATTTTTTGAGGTGTTTTTGTAACTGAATAAACTTCGTTGATAATGAGTTTGTATTATTTTTATTTTCTGATTCAAATCAATGGCATTATCATAAAATTATTTTGGAGATATCTTTCAATTATACCAAAAAATTTATGCAAGTCCAAAACGGTGTAAGTCAGAGACTAATTATATTTATTATATATAATAAAAAACATATTTTTAAATTATTGAATAAATTATAAAATATTTTTCATTATAAAAATTAATTTATGTTAAATAGTATTTATTAAATGAGGGCATTTTCTGTTTACAAAGTATTGTCATTTCCTGAGCTTTTTTGTTGATCTTGATCAGAAATATCAGTAATGTCTGCATTTTTTTTAATTGTAATTTTTTATGGATTACAAAATAAAAATAAAAATATGTTATTAATTGATAATTTGTTCTAATGGGTCATGTTTGTTTAGCTTAGTACTGAACAGTTTCTTTTTCCAGAATTTGTGCTTGAATACCGAATTGTTTGAGTTGGGAACAGTTCACTTACTGAGATATGGTTATATTTCATTTGTCATTTTTATAAATGATTACTTANCGACGTGTAAATTGTAGTCAGTAATTAACCTGGAATTAGTGGTCGAAGCAGATTCCTTTCTACTAGTTGATTTTGACTTTTGAAGTGGTGGTCTTCCTCTTTTAATTGGCGAGCGTTGCATATTAATTATGTTGATAGATTTTCCAACAATTATAAAGTTAACACACAGCACAAACAATAAAATTTTAACATAAAATTAATTGACAGGATACATTCTTTACCTGTATTTGAAGTGAGTAAAAAAACGTGCCAGCAGCTTCGGCAGATAGAAGCGCCCCCCCTTTTTGAAAATTATTAACAATTATTAATGATTTATGTATGCAAGACAATGAAAATTCATATATAAAATACACCATTACAGATGGATATGATTTACAGTCTGTTTAGTCTTATGGTGAGGAATAGGAAACACAGATTGAAAATAAAGTTAGCACAGCACATTATTCTTAAGCTTCTTTATGAATCTCTCAATCAATTTGTATCTCGTTATGCAAAAGCTGCACCTAGCAAAGCACGAATAAATCAGTTTCGCAATGATATCATAACTATATTACTTTGTACTACTGAATTTCTTCCTTATGTATGTTTGTCTGAATCTCAACATATGGGTAAACTTTGTTGTCCCTTTGATAATGAATCTAATGTAAGTAAAAATGTTAATTTTTTTTTATTTATATATAAATACTATTATAAGTTATTATGTTATTATATTTAATCAAAGATCCATTTGTTTTTTCATTAATTTATACAAGTATTACATAAATGATATTGCTAATCTAATTTTGAAAATAGTCTAAATCACTTTCACATAATTTTACAGAAAACAAGAAATTTTTATAAAAGATTTTTTGAAAATTATTATATTACAAATACTTTATTGTAATAAGAAAGATCTTGTTACAGGGGGTTGACACTAGAGAATTACAAAAATACAATTATTACTTATTGAAACATTTTTTTAAATATCTTGTTACATAAAATTTGCTAAACATAACATATTAATCATTCAGTCTACATATCATATTTAAATTCTTTAAAATATGAACAAAAAAGTTATGAATATTATGCATCTTACATAATGGAATTCTTTTCTAAATTGGTTCTGAAATTTTCTTCTTAACTTAAATCAAAAATCTCTTTTAATTTGGATTTACATTGCGCTTCCTCAAGCTTTGGACACTCAGTGAGAATATAATAAATGTTTTATGAAAATAGTTATAAAGATCAAGTAGAACTTGCCTATCCGCTGGCAGAAAAAGTTTAATAAATTTAGTGGTAGTTGTATCCATTCCAAGAGCTGTTTTCGTTTTTAATTTATGAGTTGATAAATGATGTAAATAATTTTTTTTAAACTGGAGTAATGCTTTAGTTATTTTCATTCCTAAATTCATATAATCCGACTCATACCATGGTTTTTTGATCTTAGTAATTTCGAATTTCTATTCTATCTTGTTTTAACATATTCTTTTATTATATTTACAAACTTAGTATATTTTTCGATATCTTCGGTTAATCTCTCAGCCAGTAAACAGCACATCCTATCACTGATTTATTCTTAATATCGTTGATATTAATAGTCAGTTATCAGATACTTCGGTATA